GAACGAACATTGCCTGACATCTGTTTTGTTCATTTTGGGGGGCCAATTTCTAGTATTTAATAATAATAACTGACTTTTATTTATTGAATACTCACTATGTACAAGATCTTTTGCGAAATACTTGAAATTCATTATCTCATTTAATCGTTAGTAGGACTTAAAGAGGTTAAGTTGCCCACGGTCACAGATCTAGTCTGCAGCACATCTAGGGCTCACGTCAACCTCTAGCCATGCCTCATATTGTCTCCCTCCCCAGTGGTCAGTACTGTGCTAAGTGCTGTGGAAGAGGGAGTAAGATAATGGCCTTTATTCTGAAGAACTTATATTAGGAGAAAAACACTACACAAATAATTACAGCACAATGTGGTAAGCCCCCAAATGTCATGGAATTGCAGTTAAGGAAAATTTTGATCCTGCCGAGGAGAGCCAATAAACAAAGGAGGTGATATTTCAGCTGGGTCTTAAAAGATGAGTAGGAATTAATCAGAGAAAACGACAAAGGAATTTCCAGGTAAAGGAAAAAGCGTGTCTAAAGGTACGGAGGAGAGAAAGGCCATGGTGTATTAAAAAAATAGCAAGTAGGTCAGTCTGGTTAGAATATAGAGAATGAAAGAGAAGAAGAGGGGCCTATGGTATGTGCATAATTCCTTGGTTAGTAAACAGAAGGGTGATGTCAAAATGTCACATTTAGATTCCTTTATTGGACACTAGGTGTTGCTATTGCTAGGGATGGGTTGGTTGCTGGAGGATGGATGATGGATGTCTTTTAGAGGGGATATCATGCAATTAGCCATCTAAACATACAAAGTATTTGAAAACTGTAGTTCCTTAGGCTGGGGTGGGAGTGCTGCCGATTGGTTCAATTGTCTGTATCTTTCCCATCTTAGAACATTCCAATTCCAACCCTGAAGGAATTTGCTAAGGCTCTGGAGACTAATACTCACGTAAAGAAGTTCAGCCTGGCTGCAACCCGCAGCAATGACCCTGTGGCAATTGTGAGTAAATTCTTAGAAATATAACATGAAAATATTTAGTTCACTAGAAACTCCTTTTAATTTGTTTGACCAACTAGCAATTTTTAGATCTGGTAAATTTATTTTCTATACAGTTAATAAACAAAATTAGTTATACTGAGACAGTAAAACAGAACCCAGTGGTCAAGTGCTTTGAATTAACTAGAATTTTGTTAGCATTACACTTTTAAGAGAAAGAAACAGGATTAGATTAGGCATTTAGCTAAATAAATATTCAGATTTTATTCTGGGCTTAGTACAACTTTTCTGAATCTTTTGCATCTACAGTAATATTCTGTCACAATCAATGGATGTTATAACACCCCCAAATGCTACAGGAAGTTGGCATATGTAAAAATATTGAACCATATTTCATTTTAGTTTTTGAAATGGATTACTATGTTTCAAAAATATTTTACCAACCGAATCTTAAAACATGGTTTTTTTTAAAGATTTTTATTGGGGAATTGGGGAATGGAAACAGCGCTTGGGAATTGGGGGAAGGGGAACAGACAAGTTGCTGTCGTTTTGTTCTTCAGTCTATTTGTGGAGGACCTCGCTTCACTGGCCCAAGTTGGCACCATCATTGTGCTGTTCCCAGGCGAGGTAGATCAGTCGCCGGCTTCTGGACAGCTGCTCACGGCGGCTGTTGGCCACTCACGCTGGCTGCTGGCCACTCACGCTAGCTGCTGGCTACACACGGTAGTCCATAGCAACCCACTGCAGCAGCGGCTGCAGTCTACGCCATCGCCGGCAACTCATGACAGCCCAGCTCCAGGTTGAGCTGTTGTTCAGCATCTTAGCTGTAGAGGGCAGTGTCACTGACCCTCATATGTGGGATCCGAACCCGGGCCCTCTGGCATCCCAAGCCAGCTCTTAACCAAAGCACCACTCGGCTGGCCCTCTTAAAACATTTTTTGTTTGACACTGTCAACCTGACTATGAAGGAAAAAGAAAAAGAAAAACCAAAAGCCCTTCTATGCACTTCAGATAATTCAGTTAAATTTGGAGGCCCTTCACCCAAGTAAACACTACTATCATCACCATCATCAGTGTTACTCCTCCTATTAATAACTAACATTTTTGAGTAATTAGTAAATTCTAGCACTGATCTCTATGCTTTACACACATCTCACCTAATCCTCACTGTAATACTATAGGTATGTACTATTACTAGTTCCCACTTTAACAAATGAGCAATCTGAGGTTCAGAGAGGTTAATTAACTTTTCCAAGGTAACACAGCCAGTAAGCAGCAGAATCAGGTTTCACCACTGGGTCTTTCTGATTTCACAACCAGATGCTTAACCATCAAGCTATGCTATATTTACACACAATGCCTCACTGTCAAACATTTGCTAAAATACGTCCATTATCAGGAGCCTACCCATCAACCTGTGGTTGGCTCTATAGCATCTGATGCTCAGCCCTTGAATCAAGCTAGAAAAACAAAAGTTTTCTTGACTTGATGATGTGATTTAAAGTAACATGTCTTGGGCCGGCCGAGTGGCTCAGTTGGTTAAGAGCACAAGCTCTGNTCCTTCTGCCCTTGGATAGCACCACTTTGGCCCACTCCAAGGGCATAAGCCATAACTATGGCAGCCCCAACCTTAACTCGGGTCTCAATCCTTAATACAGTCCCACTGTTCTAAAGTGTGTTATGAGCCAAAGTTGCTCAGAAAACTGTGAAGTTAATATCCCTGACTTTTTTGCTGCCTTTCCCTCCCAAAGACCCACAAAGCTTAGATCACTAATCTCTCTACACTGTGGATTTCCAGAATTGTTCTTGTCTGGCTGGAAGTATCACATTTTGTTAATTTCTTGGTGAGAGACTTGTTTGACAGGTTGATGGATGAAAAGAAAGACGAGGAGCAAAGAGTTAAGCCCTAGAACTTGCCTGGGACACAAAAATTTATCCATAAACTTTTCTCCTTCATCTATTCCATGTTTAAATTTTCCAAATTTAAAAGGTATATAGATTTTAATATATTATAAAACAGTCCAATTGCATGATACTGGCACAGCAATAGACTGACAAGAGTACAGGTTGAGCTGTTGTTCAGCATCTTAGCTGTAGAGGGCAGTGTCACTGACCTTCATATGTGGGATCCGAACCGGGGTCCTCTAGGCGTCCCACGCCAGCTCTTAACCAATGAACCACTCAGCCAGCCCTTTGTTTGCTTTTCTTAAACAAGCCTGTATTTCTTACTCTAAATAATTTAATGAATACTCGTATATTATGAAAAAATATACTATGTTGCTTAAATTTATTTTCAGTTCCTATTTTTGCATGCCTCCATTTTTTAAAAACCCTACTTTTAATTTTTTTATTGTTCTATGTCTCAACTTAAAAGATAAAGAAACAAAAAAACCTCTTTTCATAAACTTAAAAATCTTGGGGATTTTTCTATAGCCCAGCAACTAACACCTTTAGTTTTTCACCTATTATGGTTTGAACCACAATTAAGCCTCTTGGAGANGGCGACCTGATGGCGACTGGACTTGGAGCTGAGCTGGCTGCGCCCTCTACACTAAGATTGAAGGACAACAGACGATAACTTGGCTGTTCCCCTTCCCCAATTCCCCAATAAAATCTTAAAAATTAAAAAAAAAAAGTAGCATGTCTTTTGGAAGATCTAAAATACCATTAAAAATAGACAACATGAAAGTTATGACGACTACCTATTACAGTACTGGCTCAGAGTAGATGTTTAAAAAATACTTATTAAATGAGTGCATGAATGTGCCATCCAACCTCTCAGCAACAGAGAATATTTCCTGATGACAATAGAAAACTTGAAGTAAACATTCATGTAAAAGAGGGTCTAAGCTACAAAATCGATGTTTTCACCAGCAGTTATTACATCTCTAAATTTGTAGGTTGCAAGCAGTTTTGAATTTGAAACCAATCATTAAAATAGAAAAAGAGCACAACTAGATTATTGGTAAAGTGAAATTAGCAATTTAAGGATTCTTAGCTGTATATGACTTTGTACAACCTCGACCTTTTAGTAGATTTGCTTCCAATAAAGCAAAAATATTCACAATACATTTTGTATGTAAGTGACTAAAGGGATGAATAAAGAAATGATTTGTCACTCCTATTTAATATATTATTTGCAGTAAAATGGCGGGGATGGGAAGAGTTTATAGTTCATGGTCTACTAGTAAATAATCTAACTTCTACTTTAGGTCAAATAGATAACTTGCTAAGGGAACTAAATAAATTCCAAATATAATCATCTCTTTGATACTGTTGTTAATGCAACAACTATGTGTTGAATGCATATCATGTGACAACACACCATATAATTGTGAGGAATAATTACTATCCTTAAGGGTGTGACGAGGAAAGCCTCTATTGGCCTTAGTCGGCTTGATTCCTTCCTGGATAGCCCAGCGCTCACCTGGCTGCCCCCAGATGATTCCCCTTTCATCTATGCCAGTGTCAGAAAAGAAAATTTCTATAGGTTGAAAATTGGTTGATTACCTCACAGGCAATAGAGATCTTTAGATTTGCTGTTAAGAAAGAAAAATCAACATTAAAGCAAAGAGCTTCAAGAGATTTTCCTATTTAAGGTTCAGAAATTGATTCAATGAGGCACTTGTGGGATTATTATGAATGTAGATAAGCTATGCTTATGTGAGTTAACATTATCCCCATTGCAGATGAGACAACAACATTACTCAGAGAGATTGAGTAATTTAACTAAGATTACACAGCATATGGCTAAGCCAAGTGAATTTAAGTGACCTATAATCAAGTTTAGGTCACCATGCGCCAAGTACTTCCACATAACCGCATCTATAGAAATGAGTATTGATGGAACTTGCCTCACTGCATACCAATGTAGAGGAAAAGTTCAAATATGTAAAAAAATGTTATTATTATTAACAAAGATGCCCATAAAAATCAAGAGTTTAGTACAGGACTGTCTAATAAAAAGAAAATAACGGCCACAAATGTAAGCCACATGTATAATTTTAAATTTCCTAGTAGTCACATTAAAAAAACAAAAAAAATAGATAAAATTAATTTTAATAATATATTTTATTTAAACCAATATATCATTTCAAAATGTAAGTTGAAAATATAATGTGGTATTTTACCTAATTTTTTTTCGTACTACATCTTTGAAATCCGGTGTGTGTTTTACATTTACAACACGCCTCAATTCAGACCAGCCATTTTTCAAGGGCTCAATGGCCACATGTGTCTCGTGGCTACCGTTTGGATGGCACAGGTTTGGACAGTGCAGAAAACCATTTTCATACAGTCCTGTAAAGTATAGAAAACAATACCTTCTCTTTAAAAATATATTTCTACTCTAATGATTTTTATAACATTTAAGAAATCTAATCTTTATCTTACTAAGGTTATTATTGCCAGTACATGTAATAATAGATGCTCAAATATTTGCTGAACTGAAATGAACTTGGGCCTACAGCCCAGGGTTATGCTTGGCTGGGTCTTGCCTGTTTTGTTCAGTATGAGAAAAGTGTTTTCTCAAGTTTAAAAGAAATTGGCAAGATCCTGGCTGCTTGCCAGGAGGTCCTACAACTTTTTTTAAAGGCGTAATTGCTCTGACAGTTGGTTATTCGAACAATAAAAATAGCATCCATAAGGAAAGGCCTGATGCATTGCCTTCTGGTGCTCTAATTAAAATGTGTACATTTAATTCTAATTAAAGACCAAACCCTGAATAAATGCACTTTAATTTACATGGTGTACAACAATATCAGTCCAAATCCCTGAGCTTTCTTTGTAGTTCAAGCGACCGCTTGACTAACACACAGGATTATTCTTCTCGTCTAGTGGTTCTCAACTCAGGGCAGTTTTGCCCTCCAGGGGACATTTGGCAGTGTCTGGAGATATTTTTGGTTGTCATAACTGGGAGGGGCACTATTGGCATTTAGTGGGTCTCTGAGGCTGCTAAACCTCCTCTAATACACAGGACAACCTCCCACAACAAAGAATTACCCGCCCCAAATGTCAATAGTGCCGAGGCTGAGAAACCCAGTTCTTGTCCCAAGCTGGATTCCTTCTCTTCTTCCTTCTTCCTGTTTTCTTTTCCATGAAAACAATTTAAATAATTTAGAAGTTCCTTGTTCTGTTCCCCAGTGTAATCACTATTAGTTTGTTTTTCATTCTTCTAATTGTTGCCTTTATGACTTTAATTAAAGTGGCTGTCAATCCTGGGTGAACATGAGTCACCTGCAGAGCTTTTCAAAAATGCAGCTGTTCAGGCCACCACCCGAGATTCTGATTTAATTCATCTGGGGTGGGACCCAAACATTGGTATATTTCTTTAAGGCTTCTAGGTCATTTTAATATGTAGCCAAGGTAGAAAAACACTAATCTACATGTGTTTTTATTTTTAATTTCTCATCTTAGATCATTTTTGGTCCTCCGTTAAAAAAGATGGGGCATTTCTATATTCACTCTACCTTCCATCCCTCCTTCCTCTTCTACCCCCAAATTGTAGTTATTCTATTATCTTTACACATTTGAAGTTTATACATTTTAGGTCATTATATTTTATGTTTTATGTGTATAGATTGACTCCAAAATTTAAAACTCGGTTATCAGCATTTACGATTATCTGGCTATATAAGTATATAAATCTCTGTTTTCATGGGCCTTACAGTCTAGTCACTAATGCAGATCTGAGTTTTATTTCTTTATAAGTAACTTTTTTTTTTTTTGCTAGAATCTTCTGGGACTGTCTCTTTTCCATTCAGAAATTTTCTGAAATTTCATTTGTATGTACCCATTTATGAGCCTTTTTATTCATTCCTCTGAGCCTCCAGTGTGTTCTTTCAGGTAAAATCTTGTAGCTTTTTTCAATTGTGGAAAATGTTCCCCTGTTCTTTTATAGTTTCTTCCTTCCTGTTGTCTTTTCGTTCTCCTTTTGAAACTCCTGTTGAAGAATGCTGACCTTCTGCCGCTTTCCTCCGTATCTCTTAGTATTTCTCTCATATTTTCTATCTCTTTGTCTTTTTACTCTACATTCGTGGAAATAAACTCAGCTTTATCTTCTAGCTCACCAGCTTGGTCTTTAGCCATGCTCATTTTATAATTCTGATGTTTATTACTTTTCTTTATTTCAATGTATTATTTTAAATTTTCAAAACATTTTCTTGTTCTTATTCCTCTTTTTCATAATAGTCAGTATTCATTTTATGGATATAGTATATTCTCTTTATTTTTCTTTTTTCTATTTTTGGGGGGAGTATGGGGTGGGGAAGGGAGAATAACAATTAGAATAAATACATTTGTGTCTGTTCCCTGAATAATATTTGTTCCCTCTATGACATATTGTCCTGTTTAGTCAACTTGGCTTTTCTCTTGCATGATGTTGGTTTTCCTGACATATCTGGCAATCACTGGTTGCCTATTCATATTTCTGAATAGAGAACAAGTTTGGTTTGTGTAAACCAGGTTCATTTCCTCAGTAGTTGTGTAATCGGATTCACCAACAGTCCTCGCCCTTAAAAGGGAGGCCCCTTTATATTCCTGCAGTTGTCACCATCTGACAATCTACATATTTTATTAATTAATTATTGATTCTGCCCTCCTGCTCAAATGTAAGCTCCCTAGGACAGGAATTTTCATTTTCTCTACTGCTGGCACACAGTAGAAGACCAGTAAATAGTCCTTTTTGAATGAATGAATGAATGAATGAATGAATGAATGAATGAATGAGTGCTTTTGTAAGCAGGCACGTGAATTGACCAGCAGCCTTCTCAGTAGTGTGTGTATGAAGACAGGCAGCCTGGGAGTCCTCTGTAACGGCACAGTTGGGAGAGCTTCACTCAGGGAGCGTAAATTTCAGGATATTTCAATCCTGGGCATAGCTGCCTCTCCCCGTTTCACCGACACTCTTATCTGGTGATGGTTGGGAGGTGCCTCAGTTTCTGCACTGCTTCTCTCTCAGGGCCTAGCACCCTCACTGGAGGCTCTTCCTGGAAGACTTTTCACTGATGGTTGTGCTGGCAGCTCCTCTTTTTCCGGGAAGGTGCAGGGAGGGGTAGTGTGCTGTCCATCTGCTCTAGTTGCTCCATCTGTTCCTAAGGCAGTTTTTTAATGAAATGCCCCAGTTGGGACTTACCCCTGGCATCGCATGCAACTTTGTGCTAATTTCTCCACCAGTCTTTCTATTTCCTGTATTTTAGCAATTCTTCAAGATAATGGCCCTCTTTTTCTTTGTTTGTTTTCGTGCACTGCGATGTTCCAGTTGCTTAATAATTATATCTTTTCTTCATGAAGTGGAAAACTTTGGGAGCAAGGGGAACAGGCAGGTGCATGTGTACAGTCTGCAGGCTTGAACTGGGAGTCTGCAGTGGGTTTTCCACTCTGAATGGTGACTTTGTTCCAAAAGTGATCTTGGAGGAATTCTGATTTCTAGATGACTTGAAATGATATGATTAAATCAGTAGTCCCCTAATGCTAGTCAACTGTAGTTTTTTTTATCCATTCATAATAAGAGGGACAAAATAATTCTGAGATTATATTCTTTCTACATGTTTCCTAATGTTAAAATGCCTTTTCTCAAAAAAAAAAATAAAGATAACAGATGACATTGTTGTTTTAAAAATGTTCTTATTTAACAAAACAAAGTTGGTAATCCTATGTCAGTATCCTTTTTTTAATTTTATTTTTTTAGTTTTGCAGATGTGAAATTCATAATTCTGGGCTGCTGGACTAAACAGTTTTTTTGAGTTTTAAATCATTATCTTTGTTACTTGGGGATGAAAGTATGATTTAACTAAGGTTTTAAGTACTGTAAAAATATTTAATTTGGGGATGGGGAGTTCAGGAAATAAATCTTTAGAAACCCTAATGGTTATTTATTTTTTGTATAATAAGGCTTTTGCAGATATGCTGAAAGTAAACAAGACCTTGAAAAGTTTAAACATAGAGTCCAATTTTATAACTGGAACTGGGATCCTGGCCCTGGTAGAGGCACTGAGAGAAAATGACACCTTGACGGAGATAAAGATTGACAACCAGGTAAACTAACTCACAGGGTACATGTGAAAGGAGGGGATGCCATGATGGAGTGAGTTAAAAAACAAAGCTCCATTACTCATCTTGATGTTCTGGCTTTCCTATAAATTATAACAGCTTCTGGCCTGTGGGATGTGTGGGAGAGAGCATATTAATAATTAAGCATTGCACAGTGGGGTAGCTTGACACATAAAGAGCCAGCCATCCCCCAGCCCTGTGCCAGTCACACCAGAGGAGAAAGAGAGGAGGCAGGGACATAGGTGTGACAGCTGCTTTGTTCAGCCATCATCACTGTTGCCTCTTAGCAGGAACCTCAACCCAGTCCTTTCCCAGCCTTGCTATTTGCCTCTCACTGGGACTCTGGCTACAAGGAGAAAGTAGAGTGACCATGCCCAGAGACTGACTTCTTGTCCCTGGATGGAGGCTGCCAGAGCTGAAAGAAACAGCAGATGAGGCTCCTGCGGTCTGGTGTTGGCCACAGAGCCCATTTAAAGGAATCTGGGTTCTAGAAGATGATCTGGCTTAGAGGAGCAGGCCACACCCACAGTTTGATTACAACCTCAGCTTTGTTGCAGCATTTCTCAGGCTCTCATCAACAGCCAAAGCAAGCTGCTTTTCCCTAGAGGCACCACTTCCTGTGCCCTGAAGACCTCTTTTTCCCAGCATCAGCCTGCAGTCCCTCCAGAGTTGCTCTGCTGGCTTCAGCTGGCTCCTGTCCACAGACAGCAAGTCTCAGTTCTCAGTATGATGCTGTGCCCTGCCCTTTTGGTGACAGAGAAGTGTCTGCAATGAGATTCAGTGAATCTGAGGGGTCCAGACTCTGTAAAGAAGAAAGGGCCATAGAGGATAGAGCAAGGAGACTTGCTGTATGAGCATTCCCCTGTGGGGGTGGTAGGAGGGACAATGGGGGAAGTGCCAGCTGAGATTACCCGCTACATGTCTGAGAAATTTCCTGGTCTAAACCCTTCCAAGATCTGATAAAGCCGCTGAGTCCCACCCAGAATTTTTGCCTAAGCCTGAAGACCCCCAACAGGTCCCATGAACAGCTCTACTCTCCATTTTTGCTAACCAGGACAAGCAGACTGTACAGTGCAGGTCCTCTGGGCCTGGACTCCTCCTAAGGCTTGTTGCCAGAGGAGCAGGGGAATGGCACCAGGAGACAGGTGGCCTTCACTCTCACACTCCCCAGAAGGGTAACAACAGCTTCCCAAATGCAGAGCTGTGGAGGGGAGCACAGGGGAATGGCCATATACATTCAGGAGAAGCTTGATGCTGTGCATATTTTTTTTTTTAAGATTTTATTGGGGGGTTTGGGGAGGGGAACAGCGTTGGGGAATCAGGAAGAGGAACAGACAAGTTGCTGTCCTTTTGTTCTTCAGTCTAGTTGTGGAGGACATCACTTCACTGGCCCATGTTGGTATTATCATTGAGCTCTTCCCAGGTGAGGCAGTTGCTCGCTGTCCATTGGACAGCTGCTCACAGCAGCTCATGAAAGCTCACGCCAGCTGCTGGCCACCCCCACTGCAGCCCTGGCAGCCCAGCTCCAGATCAAGCTATTGTTCACCATCTTAGCTGTAGAGGGCGCAGCGTCACTGGCCCTCACATGTGGGGTCTGAACTGGGGCCCTGCTGCTCAGAGCTGGCATCCCAAGCCAACTCCTAACCGACGTGCCACTCGGCCAGCTCTCGTGTATCCAGCTGCTAGCAAATTAAGAAAGACTCATCAGGGAGTGGGAAAGCAAGAAAACAAGCTAGAGAGAAATATGAAGTGAGAGAAAAGAGGTGATAGCTCAGGGGTATTTATCAGACTAGTATCAGGAAGACATGGAGGGCTCTTAGTAAATATTTCAGGAGATCTAAGACAGAAGTGGATACCTTCTTCCGAAGTGTATTTAACTTTTTGTGTTGGCTTAGGCCATAGTGAAACCCTATATCTGAAACAATGTGCTAGTTTTTCCTTGTTCCTTATAAAATACCATCTAGTTATGGTTGACATAAAATAGACTTGAATTTGAATTTCAGATAAGCAACGATTAAGTTTTAGTCTAAGTATGTCTCATGAAATATTTGGGACATACTTATACTAAGAAATTATTTATTATTTATTGAAATTCAAATTTAACTGAATGCCCTGTGTTTTTATTTGCTGAATGGGACAATCTTATACCTAGTGAATGAAGCGAAATCCTGATAATTTAGAATAGAGCAGCGTTTTATAATGCCA